TAAAAATTAACGTTTCTTCAGGTGGGAAACCATGATGGTACTAAAATGTTTTATTCCAAAATACAGTTAATGAAGCACAACTTCAACTTCTGTCTCCATACATCTCCCCACAGGGTCTCAGACTCAACACAGAGGCCTACATCAAGTGCCTTAAGGAGGTAGTACTGACCTGGGTCAAGAGAGTGGCTGCTTGAAGACCATATGTCTGACAACAGGACTCTACACCATGCCACACAAGCAGGAGAACCCAGTCATGGCGGTCAGACAATTTCTGCAACCACATCACTCCTTACATCTGGCCACCTGTATCCCCAGACTGCAACCCCTTTGATTATTATGTGTGGGGCACAATTGAGCAAGAGACCAACAAAACTCCTTGTAACACCAAAGATGAACTGAAGGCAGGGATTATGGCAGCATCCACCAACTTAAACAAGGAGACTGTCCAGAAGAGTTGCAGGAGATTCCAAAGTCATATGGAGGCTATGGTTGAAGACGATAGTGATTTTATTGAATAAATTTATTTCAAGATACTTTTACGTCATTTTGGTAAATATATCTGTTAAAATGAGATGTCAGTGTTATTTTCATTTTTGCATAATTTAGTTGACAATTTATCCATCGCACCATGTATATGCTGGTCAGTGGTGCATTATGTGTAATACATTAGTAAAGAAAGTATGCTCTCCAGCAGGAATGGAACTTGCATTCCACTTTCTTCTAAAAACGAGGAATGTAAGTTCAATCCCTGCCAGAGAGCACATTTCCTTTCAAATGTATCAAATGCACAGACTGATAGATGTAATGCACACTGTTTAAAAAAAAAAAAAAAAAAATGGGGGCATCTATTTCAAATACAGGTATCCACTATAATAACATCTGAAGTCAAAAAAAAATGTTGGATTAATATATATATATATATATATATATATATATATATATATTTATTATGATCTCTCCCATCAATTTCAACATTTGAGGATCCTACAATGTCATTCAGTTTTTATGTTCATGTTGCATGTAACATTTCATCCCCTCTAGTGACCAGCATACAAGTCCACATATTGTGCTACAGCAAGGATTTTGGGACATAGCAACAGGAATATTTGCTGATGCTTTTTCACTACTGTCTTTTAGCCAGTTAATACAACAGTTTTCAAAATTTCTGATATCACTCTAGCACAAATATCTCCAGTTATTTCTATCCAGGGAAACTAGCTTGAAGTTAGTATGAGGTACATTGACAGCTGAGAGATTACTCTTTAGCATGTCTTTATACCTGAGCTATGGCTGTCCAACAACCCTTTCTCCACTGTTAAGCTGGCTATATATCAGGACCTTAGGTATTCTGTTGTCACTCATCCTTGCAACATGACTAGCCCAGCAAAATTGTGACTGCAACAGGAAAGTCTCAATTCCACCAATGTTGCATTTTGCAAGTAGATCAGCATTGGATAGCCTATTGTCAGAAGTATAGCCATAGATTGCACAAAGACAACTTTTGTGGAAGACATCCAGCTGATTTATGTAAGACCTATATAGGGTTCACAATTCCAAGTGTGGTCAAAATGACTGGTCTAGAAACCCATATTTTTGGTGTCCAATTTGATACAATATATATATATATATATATATATATATATATATATATATATATAGGCAGAATGGATGACAAAGTGGAAAAAATTCTGTGTTACACATTTCATTATCTAGAAGAACTTCATTGGACTGAAGTAATGTTTTTGTTGATGGGACTATATATTTAGAGGAGAGATAAAAACTTGAGCTTCAGTTATAATTATGCACATATATAATTTCTTCAACAAAAACATTAACAATCCATTGAATTCCTTCTAGAGGACAAAATGTGTAACAGAATTTTTTTCATTTTCATTCATTTGCCTAACATTTTTTTGATATATGGAAATTTATATATCTTATTTATATATGTTGCTGTAAAAATTCAAATATAAATAAAATATATCTGTAAAGATAATATAAATAAAAGACAAAAGGAAAACTTCTGTTTACCAACATGTTTCATTCCTTGACGAATTTCATCAAGGTAAATGTAAAGGTTTTATTTTGTAACTTGTATTTTTACACAGGAATAATGAGGAGTAAAAATATCACTAAATTTTCAAATTTTGAATATGAAGGATGCTAATTGATGTCATTTTTGCCTAATAAACAAAATTGAGCAAATGTTTGCTGAATTTTAACATTTTTTTAATGTAATTATTATTTATTTCTATATATTTTGTCTTGTTTAATTATTTATGTATTAATCTATTTGAATTTAAATATTTTGAGTTAGGTTTTCTTTTAATTTTTAAAAGTCTTTATGGTCATATATGTTGGTTTGTGAAAGGAATATTTCTTTTAAGAAAGAAAATATTTGAAAAAAATCCAGGGCATAAGTTAACATTTTGGAAAGAATCGATAATTGTTCTCAAGAACTTTTCATCTAAAGTTATTTTCTCTTTTAATAAATAAAGCTATTTAGATGAAAATTGTTGTTGTGTATAACACATTGGATAAATTGTTATGTACGAGATTTTAACATATTTATGAACATTAGAAAGATCTCAGTTTATATTATGTCCCAAATACCAGATTTTGTGATACACCTTTCACATAAATAGAGCATTTTCCATATCTAGGCAGGCTTTTATCAAACAAGTGCAGCTCAGAAAAGGATGTGGAACACGAAATTGGAGCTACATATGGGGCATTTGGAAAGCTAATCAAATGCGTCATCAACACCAAAGATCTGGAGTTAACAACAGAAATTATAGCCTATAATACTGTTGTCATTTCAACTTTGCTATATAGCTACAAAATCTGGACTCTATATTGTCATGACATCCAAAAATTAGAATGCTTTCACCAGCAAAACCTTCATTCAAGTTTGAACATTAAATGGGTATAATGTGACCAACACTAAAATCCTGGAAAAAGCCAATAGTCAAAGCATTAAATCACTGATCATTAAACACAGCCTTTGATGGTCACAACATATAGCAAGAATGGAATTCAAGGTTTCCATATCAAGTCTTATTCAGTGAGATCACTTTAGGAAAAATATGAGTTCACCCTCTTTGAAAATATAAGGGCCAACTCAAAACAACACCGAAAGCCACTAGACTCAAGTTTAAATTGTTTGAAACGCATGCACAAGACCATACCCGCTGGTGGTGTTCTATAACCATTGGAACTAAAAACTTTGAAACGACAAGAAAGAAAGGCTTAACAAAATCAACCTCATCCTCCACCAACTTTACTATGCTGTCAATGCCATCAGTTCTTCCATGAAAGAATTGGTCTACTTAGTCATCAAGGCTATCATCATAAAGGAAGTGATCAGAAAAGAAAAAATTTAATTCTTGGATACAAGATAAAGTTACCGCCAGCAACAACGATATATGGATTAGTTATACAAATTTAATAATGTTCTTGCTGCCAATGTCAACCAATTTTCAAGATTAAAAGATGAAAAAGAAAAAAAAAGAAGAAAAAAAAGAAAAGAAAAAAATCTTTCATTTAGCTCTGTGGAGTCTCCAAAATCTGATGTCTTAAAGCATTTGTTAGGTCTATTGGAATAAAATGAATTCTACTCACCGCTGGTAACAATCTGTTACTGTGTTGTAATGGTAAGAGGCATGAGTAAAGGCCTGTAACAAATATGAGCGATCACGAAACTGATACCCAATTTCCTTTTCAAATGTTTCATAACCATCAAGTAAGTGTTCAAGAACTTCTTTAGCATTTGATATGTGAGTTAACAGAGGAGATATTGGACTTTCCAATTCTTCAAGTTGATGTTCTGTTACAACCTGGAAATTAAGAAAATTTTCACCATGAAATGATTTTATTTTTAGATATGTGATGGCTAAATTATCACCATTTTATATTTTTAATTTCATGCATGTACACCGTTTCTTTTTGATATTGTCAACTGCACAGTATAGTAGGGTCAGTTGGGTACTGTCTGTGAGAAAATGAGCACCATGACACAATTCACTTAAAAATTTGTAAAAGGCAAGCTGTACTGCTATTCATTTGTGCCACAAGCTCTAATACGAACATTTCAGAGTGTTTGGGTATCAATCTGAGGACAGTGCAGGGGATTCAGAAAGGGTTGGATGAGTTTAATGGTGACTACAAAGGTGTTCAGAGTGATCACTAGTGATGCAGGCATTATACCTCCATTCACAATGCCTCAGACTCAACATGGAGTCCTACATCAAGTGCCTTAAAGAAATAGTGATGTCCTGGGTCAAGAGGGTGGCTGCTGAAAGACCCTATGTCTGGCAACAGGACTCTGGACTGCCACACAAGCAGGAGAACCCAGTCATGGCGGTCAGACAATTTCTGCAACCACATCACTCCTTTCATCTGGCCACCTATATCCCCAGACTGCAACCCCACCTGATTATTATGTGCAGGGTACAGTTGAACAAGAGACCAACAAAACTCCTTGTAACACCAAAGATTAACAGAAGGCAATGATTATGGCAGCATTCACTAACTTAAACAAGGAGACTGTCCAGAAGAGTTGCAGGAGATTCCAAAGTCTTCTGAAAGCTGTTGTTGAAGCTAATGGCAATTTTATTGAATAAATTTACTCTTTATTATTTCAAGATATTTTTGGTTAATTTTGGAAAATATATCTGTTAAAATGAGATGTCTGTGTTATTTTCATTTTTACATCATTTAGACAACAATTTATCCATAGTACCATATATATAAAAAGTTTCAACTGATGGTTTTTTTACATTTCCTGCCTGTAGGAATTCAGTGTTGGAGAAAACGTAGAGAATATCAATTGAGTATTAAAGAATTGTGTTAATAGATTTGGGATTCAAAATTTTACAAGAAGTTTCTCACAGAATACTTCAATGTATTAATTTTAACTGTTTCAAATTATTTAAGGGTGGTAAAAAAAAAAAAAAAGGGGGAGAAGGAAAAAAGGAAAAAAGAGAAAGAGAAAGAAAAGGCTAAAAAAGAAAAAAGAAAGAAAAAAGAGAAAAAAGAAAGAGAGAAAAAAGAAAAAGAAAGTAAAAAGAAAAAGAAAGTAAAAAGAAAAAGAAAGAAAAAGGAAAGAAAAAAGAGAATAAGAAGAAAAAGAGAATAAGAAGAAAAAGAAAGAAAAATGAAAAAAGAAAGAGAAAGAAAAAAAAAGAAAGAAAAAAGAAAAAGAGAAAGAAGAAAAAGGAAAAAGAGAAAGAAGAAAAAGGAAAAAGAGAAAGAAGAAAAAGGAAAAAGAGAAAGAAGAAAAAGGAAAAAGAGAAAGAAGAAAAAGGAAAAAGAGAAAGAAAAAGAGAAAGAAAAAAGAGAAAGAAAAAGAGAAAAAAGAAAGAGAAAAAGTAAGAAAAAAGAGAAAAAAGAAAGAGAAAAAGAAAGAAAAGAGAAAAAGAAAAAGGAAAGAAAAAAGAAAGAAAAAGAGAATAAGAATGAAGAAAAAGAGAATAAGAATGAAGAAAAAGAGAATAAGAATGAAGAAAAAGAGAAAGAAAAAAGAGAAAGAAAAAAGTAAAAGAGAAAAAGAGAAAGAAAAAAGAGAAAGAAAAAGAAAAAGGAAAAAAGAAAAGAGATAAAAAAGAAAAAGAGAGAAAGAAGAAAGAAAAAGAGAAAGAAAAAGAGAAAGGAGAAAGAGAAAGGAGAAAGAGAAAAAAGAAAAAGAAAGAAAAAAGAGAAAAAAGAAAAAAAGAGAGAAAGAAGAAAGAAAAAGAGAAAGAAGAAAGAAAAAGAGAAAAAGAGAAAAAGAAAGAAAACGAGAAAGAAAGAAAAAGAGAAAAAGAAAGAAAAAAGAGAAAGAGAAAAAGAAAGAAAGAAAGAAAAAAGAGAAAAGAGAAAGGAGAAAGAAAAAAGAGAAAGGAGAAAGAAAAAAGAAAAAGAAGAGAGAAAAAAGAGAAAGGAGAAAGGAAAAAGAGAAAGGAGAAAGAAAAAAGAGAAAGAAAAAGGAGAAAGAGAAAAGAGAAAGGAGAAAGAAAAAAGAGAAAGGAAAAAGAAAAATAGAAAGAAAAAAGAAAAATAGAAAGAAAAAAGAAACAGTGAAAGAAAAAAGAAACAGTGAAAGAAAAAAGAAAAAGAGAAAGAAAAAAGAAAAATGAGAAAAAAGAAAAATGAGAAAAAAAAGAGAAAGAAAAAGAGAAAAAGAAAGATAAAAGAGAAAGAAAAAAGAAAAAGAAAGAAAAAAGAAAAAGGAAGAAAAAAGAAAAAGGAAGAAAAAAGAGAAAGAAAAAGAAAAAGAAAGAAAAAAGAGAAAGAAAAAAAGAAGAAAAATTCTCAAATAGAAAAGCATACAAAAAGTAATGCTATGTTACTAATTGTAAACAGGAAATATCTTATATTTTTATACAACAGAATGAACAAAACACAAAGTGGGAATGAGAAAAAAAAAAAAGGAAGAAAATAACATACATCATCATTTTTACTTCTGTCAGCCAAGATATGTTTTTGTGGGAGAACCTTGAGACCAAGCCAAGACATAAATAACAAAGCGGCTCTTTTGCCGCAGCAAGTCAGGTAACACCCAATGAGAGCTTCCACACAGTCAGCGACACTTTTATCTGGAATGCTGTGGATAGTCTGCAAACTGTATGGTATCAATGGTTTTTCATTTGGTGAGTTTCCATTACCATTGACACCATCCTGTTCTTGTGATTGTTTCAACTCCTCCAGTTCCTGGTTGAACTTCCACTGTTCTAAATTTGCTTTGCAAACATGACTTGGAAAATTATCATCAAAGTCTTTGATAAAATTCATTGAATCATCATTTGACTTGACTGTTGTCTCAACAGAATTATAAACTGAATACTTTGATTCTTCAATTTTTGGGAAACAGTCGCCTCCGTCTAAAATGTCCCCATTTAATCGGCTATTCAAGGATCGACCTTCAAATTTCCCATTGCTGGAAGTGATATGTACTTTGTGCACCGGGCCTCGTCTTCGCTCCTCGTTGATAACATAACCTGGAGGCAGCCAGTTTTCATAAGGTTCAAATTTCGCTGACACCATACGTTCAGGAAGCCCCTTTTTGCGACCAAGTCGATATAGATTGTAATTGCTCACCTGCTTGCTGCGTAAATAACTTAGTTTACCTTCATGAATACCTGGGTACTGACAGTATAAGTAAACAGTTATGGCATATTTCAGAAAGGAATCCCCAATTGTCTCCAGTCGTTCAAGACTGAAAAAGTCATTGGCATTTGACATTGTAAGCGCTTGTAGAATGACACATGGGCTTGGCCCAATAAAGCTGCTCAATTCAATGTCAGTATCCAAAAGTAGAGGAGGACAGCAGATCTGTGGCGGAGGTGATGGGGGCAGCAAAGGTGATGCTGTTTTATTTTCCTGAGATGAAGCATAGCTGTAAATGGAGTTTGCATTTGTTTTGTCGGCAATAATACAATAGTCAGAGATTTTGCTTGTATCTAGTTGTGCCGACTCGCCACAGAAGGATGTCACATTTTGAAAGACATCGGCATTCAAATCACGTTTTTGGGTGGGAGGGATATCACAGTTAGCATTGTTGTCGGTGGTGGACGAGGGAGGGACGTTTTTGCCAAGTTCACTCATTGCTGCCTTTTTAGTAGAAGGAGGCGACTGAACCATGGTATTTTGGATACAGCTGTTACTGTTCTCAGTGGTGAATGGTATGAGTGGATCTGATTTCATATTGGTGCTAGCCTTACAATCGGGAGGAGAAGTAAATGCCAGTGATGCCATTTTCTTGATGGTATGATCCTCAGAGTGAGCAATACTTTTCAGGGAAGAAAAAATGGGGCCAGAGTCTTGGGCTTTAACCTGTTCTTCAGATGATAAAGACTGACAATGTTGACTTTTAGAATGTTCCTGAAGCTGGTTGTCTTGTGAAGGTGATGGACATTGTGTAGATGAGTTGGTGGTGACAGCGGCATCTGCTGGTAAATGATGAGAAGGTGAACCTGTGGGAGATGATGACAATGAAGATGATAATGAAGATGATGATTCTGGCATGTTTGCTGTGGCAGTGTGAGCAAGCCGGAGTTCAGAAGCAACAGCAGAATGGACTATTTCAGATTTATTGTCACAGTTTTTAGTCACAGACGATTGCAAGAGGTTGTCTGGTGTGGAAGCCTTGGTGACAAAAGCAGCAGCCCTTCCAGCAGATTCTAAATTGGTTTTATTCAAGCAGACGTTGCCATTCATCTCAGCAGGGTACAGGTCAGTTTTATTAGAGCTAATTTCTACATCTTTCCTAGTTTCTGAGGGGACTTGATGAGAATATGTTTGACCAGAGTTGGTTTTGGGTGGGGCAGATATGGACAAGGAATCATTCTTGACAGTCACAGAAGGTGCAGATCTGTCGAGTTTTGTTTTATCACAGTTTTCATCCAAATTTTTATTTTGACATTTTTCCTTATCTTCATCTTGAGGAAGTTCCACGATTTTGCATTTTGATCTCACCAGTTCAACAGGAGCTGAAGACTCTTTCTTTTCTTTCACAGTTTGTGTATTTATCCAATTTGAAATAGTCTGCTCCTGTCTTTCTTTCCTGATTTGCTCATCAACCGCACTGAAAGTACTTCCCTTTGGATACGTAGTGTTGCTACAGATGAGACGAATGTCAAGAGATTCTAGGTCTTTCATCAAACTCTCATTTTGGAACTGGATATTAGATGAAGAATCCGATGCAACAAAATCATTTGGACTTTCACAGGGAACTCCTAAATCCCTAGGAATGTCAAAAGTTATCTTAAAATCCTCCTTTCTCGCTTCTGGTATTTTCTCAGAAGACTGAAGTTTGGGAAATTTTGATTTTGCAAATGACGTCTGTTCTTTTGGTGGTGGATCAACTGATGAAGAATTCTGTGCCCAGTTTTCCTGGTTTTTTAAATTTATAAAATTATTCTCTTGCAAGGATTCCTTCCCTTTATCTGATTTGGTAGGCTTCCAAAAGGAAGCATCGTTATCAGCAGTGATTTTGCGATTTTCTCTTGCAGTCTTTGAGGAATTATTATTATTTGCAGAAATTTTAGCAGATTTCCAAGATGGTAATGGCATTTTATTGTTAATGGCAGTTTTCAATGAGTGTCTTTCTCCAGACATGTTGTCATTTTCAGTTTCTTTTGTAGTCTTTAAATCTTTATGAATCTTTGCAGCATTTTCATTTTCACATCCAATTTGGGGCTCAGCCTGAGAAGTTGGTTCTTCATTCTCTGCTTCATGCAATGTCTTTTCTTCCCCCAGGGAAGATCTTTTGGAATCTTTTTCACAACTGGTGCTTATTGAAGGAACGGTTTCTGTTGACAGACTTCCATTGCTGTTAATTGGTTTTGAAAACTTGGAGTCATTCTCATTCCTGTTGTCAATTATTTTTTCAGGATTAGTCTCAAACCCAAAATCAAGTTTTGGAAACTGAAAGCCTTTTGGAATATCAATTACACCAATTTTGGTTCCCTGGGCAATCTTCACCCGAATTTCTTCCGCAATAAGAAGGTAGTTGATACGATAGAGAATTGCAGGTAGGCACACTGCCTTACGCCACAAGGAGGCTGGAAAGATATGCACAACGCAGAGTTCTGGAATTAAGATCTGCTTTTGCTGAAGATTCTCACGCCGAGCCTTTTTTGTCTCGGCACTGCTGGTTGGAAGTGCAATTCCTTTTTGGTTCATATACCGTGGTGTGAGCAGATTTAACCGAGCCGATGTGTGATCCACATCAAGCAAAGGCTGGTCTAAGTTGGTGATATGCAAGCCATATTTCTTAGAATAGTATTCATTGAATGTTCGATAGAGCTCTGGTGATGGGAATGGACTGTTGGGGTTCAAGTCATATTTTATCTCCGCAACATAAAAATGCTGTGGTTGGTCCATATTACGATAAGAAGGCATCACAACAGCATCTTCAAAATCTCCAGTGCAAAACTTAAACTTTTCTCTCTTGGGGTCATAAATGTCAGGGTGTTTCCTGCTGAACGACGATTGTACTTCATCAACAAAATTCCAGTTGATTTGGTTGACATGGTTTTCATCTGAAAAGCAACATCAAATATGAAAAGAAAACATTGATAAAATAGTTGGAAAAAAAAAAAACAAAAAAAACACACAACACTACAGAACTTTTGAGAATTAAAATAATGTAAAACAATGATTATTTCTTTTATTTAATAAAATGTTTCTGGTAATTTTGTTGTCATCAATTTACAACAATGCTTTTAGATAAATATTCTCATTTTTAGCCACTGTGCCCTTTCACCTATCTCAGTTATTTGTTAGATTCAGTAATCTGTAAAGGAATTTTAAATGTAACCATTTACTTCACCTGTATTTGTCCTTATTCATAGATTTTCTGTTATACCCAATGTGCTTTGTAGATATTTCTGACCATGTAGATGTACATTTTTCTTTATGGAAACACATATTGCTTACCCACTAAATCATTATACTCCTATAATGTCTAGTTCAATGATTAAGCTCACCAGTCCTTTTATCCATTAGGTCATGTATTATGATATAATTAAATGATATCTTTACTAAACATGAGCTACAAACAAATTTAGTAAGAAAAATAATTTAAGTTCTTAATCCATCAGAATATATTCAAGGGCTGTTTATTATAGTATATAAGAAAAAACAGTAAGATATATAATCTGGTGTTCTTGTTATTTTTTATTTTTATTTCTACAAAACAGTGCTCAAAGTAAATTTACAGAGCATAAATATAAATTAGCTGATTTAAAATATGTTTTTTTCACTACACAATAGCAAAAAAAAAACATATTTTAAATCAGTTAATTTATAATTATATATATTGTTATAAGTTGCTGTGTTGAGTTACAATGATGGCCTTTTGGACATATGTTTATATGAACATTTTACCTTGTTTTGGTATGAAGAATCTACCCCCCCAAATTTTGTAAAAGTATTTTTGATACACCATGTATAATTCTGAAAATTTTAGCAACATCAGCAGATGTTAATGTGAAAGGACTGACTTATTTTTATTTTTGACAGTAAGGTTCATCCTGTACAAGCCCCGGGAGTCACTCAAGGTAGAGGGTTACATTAACAGGTAGTTTATATGGATAGGAGGGAAAGATAATGGTTAACTCTAAATTTGAATAGGTCAAGATTGTAGTGATTGGGGAAACATCCTCTTGGGAATCTGTTCCACAGGTCAGTGGTTCACAGGAAGAAGCTGTTTGAGTGAAACTTACTTCTCACCAATGGAATATGGAGAGAATGTGGGTGGTTTGCTACTATGAAAGTGGCATGGTGGATCCTAGCCATGATGGTTAGAAATGGCAGAATCAAGGAATGTAGTTCATTTGAGCACTTTCCATGGAAGTAGTAATAAAGTAGTGAGAGACTTGCCACATCCCATCTCTGAGAGAGAGAGAGAGAGGTTGGAGGGTGGTAAATAATTCTTCTGCAACAAGGATTTGAACTCAAAACTGGAAAGTGAGGACTGGAAAAGCTCCTGCCCAAATATGACAGCAGTACAACAATTTTGTAAAATTGTATAATGAAATCAGACATAGTGTTTATAAAACAGAAGTAAAAACAGAAAAACAACTGTTCATGAGCTTACAGATTTCTGGCATAGATTTAAGTGTGATTTAATTTTTTTTTTTTTTTTTCATAATACTGTCTCAATTTTGTTATATATATATATATATATATATATATATATATATATATATATACATACATACATACATACATACATTTATAAATTCATGAATCATTCATACAAAAAACAAATATAGAGGTTAATGATTTAAATGGCGAGAATACATCTTCACAAACAATATAAATAAGATACATCAACCCCGAACCTGTATATGAATGATATGATCCCTGTTCATAAATTCCAGTTGCATAAGGTCTTTTAATTTTTACAAGCTTTTGTTTGTTCCTAGACATCCTCAGGTATGGAAATAGATTTTGTTCTTGTTTTTACTTCTCGGTAATAAGAGGACAACGAAAATAGAGATGTAATCCGAAAAAATGCTATGAGAAATGTGTTATTGTTTTGGAATGTGCGGTCGCAACGCTGAATTTGAATTTAAATTTTAAGATTGTGCGCACAACCTTAAAATTTAAATTCAGCGAATAGTGCACTAAAAATATTAGACTGAGATGTGTAGACATTCTATGGAAAATGACATATAACAAATTTCATCTGAAGGTCGTCTCTCATGTTAAAAATAGAGTCATTGGTAATCAGGCTGGTCAAAATGCCTTCACGGGCCGTAGGTTGCCGACCCTTGCTTTAGAATATAAACATTTCCTTAAATCAGAAGATTTTTAAGATGTACCAAAATTTGGTAAAAAAAATCAATTCAAGTTTTCAGTAGAACCAATAACAAAGCTTCAAAGACAAAGCCAGAAAAATAAAACTATTCTTAATTAGGAACATTATCAAAAATTTTTTTTACCAAAAATAAATAAATGCAAATTTCTCAACTTCTAATGCTCTTTTTCAGCATTGTGCAATACAAGTTCAAATTTTTACAAAGATTTATCTCCCCTTAGTCAATTTTTTAAAAACCTGTAATAGATTTGGAATAAAAATATCAACAAAGTTTTAATATTAAAAATAGTTACAGACTACAAGAATTTGTTACCTTCAATAAGTGGCACAATAAGGTAACCAACTTTAGCCTCTTCTGGCATGAAGTCAATTGGATCCTTTTCTAAACGTAGAACAGTACTGAAGACAAATCGATGAAAAGCAGTCAACATATTCATTTGGGACTCGGTAATAAATAAATCTGGTTGAACAATATTCACTGACACAGTAACTTCTCCTGATCTAGTATAGACAGGGAAACGAGGGACCTACAAAAAGAAATAACATGAAGGAAATAATGAAAATCATAGCATTATTTTAATTTGATAAATTATTTATGTATTTATTTTAAATGATTAACGGTCTTGAGTTAACTGGTTTCTTTTAATTTTAAAAATTTTTATGGTCATGTCTGTTGGCTTGCAAAAGAAAAGAAGATATTTGAATTAAATTAAAAGAAAAATAAGACATAATTACATGAAAAAATAAATATATTCAAACATATAAAAAAATAAAAATTCAACAATAGCATTTGCTCAGTTTTGTTTATTAGGCATTAAATTATATCACTTAGCATCCTCCATAGTTTACCTTTACTTACACTTTAAGAATATTTTAGAGTGTTCTTAAATTTAAAATCTTTGAAAACTAAAAGATATTTTTCATCTGCTTTATTTCCGTTTAGAAATACATGATGCAAAATAAAATCATCACATTTATCTTAATAAAGTCCCTTGGGACAAAATGCATTGGTAAAAAAAAATTTTCTTTTGTCACAAAATCAAGTGTATAGGCCATTAACTGACAAGTTGAGGTCCACTTTAAACAAATTCACACCATTTTCCCTCTGAAAGTTCTCCACTGCCTTAACCAGGTATTGAACTCACACTCTTTGGGTCCTGTCACTGGATCTAACTAACACCTTTATCCATTGTGCCATGTATCCTTGAGGTTAAGGCAGTTGAGAACTTCCAAAGGGAAAATTAACAGGAGATAACTGATAAGCGACATCCATTAAACATGGCACGTGGAACTAGAACAGTCCACCCCAGTAAGCAAAATAAAGGGTTCAGTTCAACATTCCAACCACCTGATGAAGGAAACTTGTTTAGAGTTTTTTGATATCTAGGACAGATTTGGATGCTGGCTGATCACTGGCAGAAGATCATCGAGAATGATGGGCTTTATTTTGAAGAATAAATGTTGGCGTGCTCCATAAAATTTTGTTATTTTTTTTCAGCTTCCTGAGTGAGTCAGGACTTCCTAGCCAACTTAATAGAAATAATTAAATCAAAATAGTCAAGATGAATTCCGATACAAGACAATGGCAGAGTTACTTACCTGCGGAATGTTTTTGGAAGACAAGATTCCAAATCCACGTGGTGTATTTTCTGGGACATAAATCTTGCGTCCACGTGTGTTCTGCTCTTCTGTAATGGGGCCTGTCAATACCATGTGAATGTTGTATAATTGACATTGCCTACCAACTTCAATGTGGCAACTCATTAAAGCATCTGCCGCCTAAAATTACAAGAACAATTTTAAATATTACAAGAAATTTAAACTCCAAAATTGGCTTTCATTTCATATAATTTTTCCAATAATTATTTTAACATTTTCACAATATCACATGATATTTAGAATTGCCAACAGGTTAATATATTCAGATACAATTGTGCAATCATTGATTTCCAATTTTTGTCTAGTGTACATCTTTTCTATGCTTATTTCCTGTTTGTATGTGTTGAATTTCTACAGATTTTCTGAAGATTTTATAAGTTTTTTCTTGAAATTAAAACCTACAGGCAAGGCAACAAGAACACAATAAAGGATAAAGTATTTTGCATGCATGGCAAGATTTAATTATAATAATTTATTTTATAAAAGATGACATGAGGAAATGCTGAAAAGTTCTCGGCTTATATATATATATATATATATATATATATATATATATATATATATATATAGGTATGCAGAAAATAGAAAAAAAACACATTGGGTGCATGATCCAGGGTTCCTTAGTATTTTTGTTTTTATTTTTAAGAAGACAGTGCTCCATACAGAAGTAGAGCTATATTATAATAATATTTTTTGTTTAAAAATATGATTCCTTTGCTACATAAGAGTTCTCCTGTTTCAAAAACGAGAGCCAAAATATCCAAATAGTTATTAAAATTAAGTTGGATTGTGGTGTTTAGTCCCGTTTCATCTTCAAGCGAAATTTTAGGAACTAAAATGTAGCGAAGGAATCATATTTTTAAACAAAAAATATTATTATAATATATATATTGTAAATAATATTTATCATTTCATTGGGATGTTTTTGTTTTTTTTTTAACTCCCCAACCTAAGAGGATGTGGTATTATGGTGTATGGAGGATTGATTGATGATGGATGAGATTTTATGGTGAATGAGGAAACTGTAACAAGTTAATGGGTCGTGAATCCAATTAACTAGGTATAAGATAGTGAAGACCAGCCTCAACTCATTCTCCCCATTATGCCATAATTGTATTAATTTACAATAAATCTCAACACTGGTTATAATTATACACCAAGAGGAAATGGTGAAGATGTAGGGACATTAAATTTTTAAATTTCTGGCATCAGTCTGATGAAGTCTTTTTAATGTTACCATTCATTTACCCAAATATTAAATTATAAAAATTATAATTAAAAATCTAGCATTATAGATTTCTGTTATTAACCCATTAATGGCCATTTTCTCCATTTTTGGGATGGTGGCATTAACGGGTCCATTTTTTTTTTCTTTTTCAAAAGCAGAATTCTTTCTTACATGTGACAATTGGTTGGTTGTTTCTGTTTAGCGGCATATCAACACCTCTATGGGTTATTTAATGCTGAAATCTAAACATTTTTTGTACACAATTTTATTTTTGGGGATAATAAGGTTTAGTGACACAAGTTTTACTAATTAACCCATAGCTGGGTGGAAAAGAGGTGGATTCATACTTTTCCCAAGAGTATTTGCACATAAGTGAATATAACAAACCCGACTGGAATTAGAACTCCGCTCTCCAATTAACAATTCTGTGTCATTATCCGTTACACAGCCCACACATCCAAGCTAACAGCATCTAGTATTCCCAAACAGTCACCCATCTGGGTACTGACCATGCTCGATGTTGCTTAACATCAGTGATTGTACGGGAACCAGTGACATGTCACAATAGAGTTAACTTTATACATAAACTTTCTTGATTACTCATCGCTGAAAAGAACGTTCTTTAAATATTGTTATTTTTTATGACAGGTAAATTTATATAAATAAAGACAAAAGGAAAACTTAGCTTACACATTTCATCCTCTGAGAGATTTTATCAAAGCAAAAAGCAAGGATTTTATTTTGTAACAAATATTTATATATAAGAACAAAAATGTTATTGGTTTTTTCAAAATTTTCAAATTTAAGATCATTCATAAATATTTTAGTTACTATAGCATCTAAAATAATTTTTTCTACCAGATCCTCATTATTAAATACTAGCTTAAAAGCCACCCTATCAGGTGGCATTTAAGCTAGCTCCTGTGCAGGGCTCTTGATTGGGCTTTTATCACAATAGGTAGGGAGGAGGAGATGTAATAGGTAACAATAAACTACAGATAAAACTCAAAATTGATCACTGTATTTAAGTATTGCATTAATATATAAGATTACCTTTTAAAAGTTCAACAATAATTCTTCTGCCAACACTTAATTTAAAGACAATTTGATGTATGTAGGTCCTTACTTTCCATACAATTATTTTTATTTCATGAGTGGCTTTCTCTGGATTTTGCAATTAATTTCAATTATTTCCAAATATATTTCCAAGTTATAAAAATTGTTATCATACAAAAAATTTGTTGCAAAAAATCATGTAGAAAAAAAAACAAAAAAAAATCTGTCCTGGAATGTTTTTAATTTCATTATGAAGTTGACCTGATTACAAAATGGTATGATATGTTAGGCAAGAGACTCTTAGTGTAAAGTTGAAAAAGTGTGACACACTGATATTTGCATTTATTATATAGATTTTTTTAAGTACAAGGGTGAGATGCCTCAATATAGTTAAATAAACTTTGTTTATTTTCACATTAAAGTAATTAAAATCCACTCAGAATAATGTTTCTATTTGTTCAGTATAACTACTCAAAGAGAAAGAAAAACCTTTTTTCTATCAAAAAGTCACATTTTGTTCTGATAATGAAGTTTTGGTGAATTACCCAAGTTGTAAATGTGGTAAATTTCTAACATCAATGATAAAAACAAAAATATCACACCATTTATATCAATTTTTAAAGCAAAAGTTTTATTCTGTTATAATACTACTACTACTAATAATAATAATAATAACAACAATTGATATTTATTATTTATTTTAAGTGAAAGATTCATTCAGATTTCAATTTATAGCTTTAAATGTATGCCTCTTCTATAAATATATTCACAGTAATTGTTCTGATGAACTTTCCTATTTGGCACCTCAACTTTACGAATTTAAGTACAGAGTTAGATCAGCAACAAAGTCTCATCATTTTACAGTTGATATATGTTATATGTAACTATAAATTCTATACTAACAGTTTTTTCTCTTACACTGAGATGTGAGGAAGTCTTTTCCAGCCTCTTACTTTCAAGTTTGATCTTCAAAAATTTAAATACAACGTCAATCGTTATTTTATGTCTTAATTGCTGTCCTTTTATTGTTCTCTCTCCTTAATAATATTTTGCTTTTGCTCATATTTTTCAGACTCAGTAACCCCTTGCATCTTAGTTGCTTTATAGCCTTGCCTGGGGCAAAAAGATTAAAAAAAAAAAAGCAGCATCTTCATTAACTTGGATAAGAAAATCTAGCCTTTTCTGATCCTAAAATACATCTAGAGTTTGGGCCTATCAAAATATGGTGGTGATAGCTATAAAGATGAGGTTTTCTATCTGAATTTCTGGGATGAGGTGCTAACATTATGTACATTATTTACACTCAAACTATTCTCCTTATTGTAAGGTTTGGTTGTTGTTAAGTATTGAGTGAAAGGCAAAATTATAAATATATTTTATTAATATTTATTTACAGTCAATAAGTTAGGGTACATGTTGACGATTCCCAGAATCCCAAGTGAAGTGTTCTTCTAGTTGTATTCCTACACTAAGGTGTTTATATTGAGTGTGTGTAGGAAAGTAGTTCCTATGCTACTGTTATCCCCTCTCACCAATAAACAAAAACTAGTTTTCTTATAACTGCAAATTTAATGTTCAAGTGTGAATTTTGTATCTGAGTGGCATGTGTATGTCATGGCCACTTATAGTTGTGTTAAGTGTCGGATGTTTTGGTGTTCTCTGGTTTAGGGTGTTGTTTGTGTTGCCATGTGTTGGTATTTTATTTTGTAGTGGAGTGGGGATATCATCATTGAAATGAACTCGTTTATAGTTGGCTGTTGCTGCCTTTCTTATTTGGACTCTGTTTCGTGTCTTGGAAGATCCATCTGGGAATTTAAGAATGTAGGATCTTGGTTCGGCACATTTAGTTGTTACTGTTGCTGGTTTCTATTGCCCCTTTTGGTGATCTAATACAAGCACCTTTTGTCCTGGGACCAAGGGTCATAGGTCATAATATCATTTTTTCTTCTTCTGTCAGTGTTTTAACACTTCATGAAGATGATCAGTGTGGGTGAAACTTGGAACTGAGATTTTTGCCATAATGGTTGTTTTCATAATACAGTTGCTCAACACTTCACCTGGACTTGGAAGGTTGTGGTTGATGGGTGTTGCCTGAACACATAGCATTGCTAAATCAGGATCTCCTCCCACTTGCTTTGCCTTGAGTAGTGTTCTTTTGACAGTTTGAATCTGTCTCTCCAGAAAACCATTTGATTTGGGAAACTTTAGCAACGACATCACATGGTCAAATTGTCATTGTTGAGTAAATTTTTGAATGTTTCACTGGAGTATTGTGGTCTGTTATCACTGATCACCTCGGTGGGAATACCATACTCTAAGATTTGCTTTGTTGTTGAAACGACCATATTGCTTAGGCTCTGACCTGTCATTTTGCATATGATAGGGAATTTGCTGTAGTAATCAGCAATTATTAGGTATTCATTGTCATTGAAATGAAACAAATCAGTACAAACAACTTTGCATGATCGACTTGGGATTTCATGTGGTTATAGTGTTATGTGCTTGTGCAGGAAGATTTTCCCGGCATATTGAGCACTTCTTAATCATGTTTTCAATATCAGCATTGATTTCTTTCCAATATAGTGCATCTCTAGCTTGAAGGCATGTCTTTTTGATGCCTTGTTGGTTTTAATGAAGCTGGTCTAGGATGATTTTCTGTTGATTATCTGGAACCAAAATTCTTGGTCCTGTTAGGAGGATACAATCATTGACACAAAGTTCATTCCTGTATGATCAATATGAACGTATTGCAGGTTGTAACTCCTTGATCAAATCTGGCCATTATTATGACCTCGTGCAACTGATTGAGAACTGGATCTTTCCTTGTTTCATTTCTCATGTCATTCAAACAATTGCTGCTGAACCTCACAAGATCAATTCTAACATCTAGGTCAATTGAATCATTATTTGAGTACATGGGAGACAACTTAGTGTATCTGCTACAGTCATTTATTTTCCTGGTCTATATTCTATGTGCATCTAGTATCCCTGTAGTTTTAGTATCATATGTTGTGGTTTAGGAGGTGCATTAGTCAGTGGTTTTTGTAGTATCATAATCAGTAGCTTGTGGTCAGTAAGTACTTTGAATTAAAGGCCATAGAGATATGTATGGAATCTTTGGACTCTGAATACAATTGCTAGAAGTTCCCTTTCAATGGATGCATAGTGTTTCTCTGTGTCTGATAAGGATTTTGATGCATAAGTAATTGGTTTGTTGTTTTGCATCAGTGCAGCTCCAAGCCCTTTCAAACTTACCTCAGTTTATAGAGATGTCTCATTTGTATTAAAATAAGAGTTGAGTTATGGCTAATCTCTGTTTTGACACTTTCAAAACATTGATTGTAGTGTTCTTCTCACATAAACATTGCTTCTTTCTTTAACAGGCCTCTTAGAGTGCATGTCTTGTCAGCCAAGTTTAGAATGAATGGTGACAGGTAGGTAAGAAGACCTAAGAATTCTTGTAATTCTTTCTTGCATGTTGGAGATGGCATGTTCCATAAGTCATTGAATTTCTCTGGATTCAAACACCATTTTCACTGTATATCATTCCATAAAAAGATATGCTTTTGAACTTGATTTTGCATTTTGTTGAGTTGAATACAACACTATTATCTTTTGCTGTTTGCATGAGCTTGTGCAAGATTTTGTGATGATCTTCTGATTTGGCATAGATAGTGACATCATCAATGATTCCTACTGCACTGTCAACTTGCTCAAGGAATTAGTCCATCTTCACTTGGAAAATATTCTCAGATACACTCAATCCAAATGGTAATCTCTGGAAGCAGTATCTTCCATAGGGTGACCGGAATGTTGTTAGCAGCTGAGAGTTTCCATCCAACTGTATAGACCAGTAGTCAGCTTTGGTGTCCAGCTTGGAAAATAATTTGGCACCTGCAAAGTCATGTGATAGCTCTTCTATTGTAGGAATTTTATGATGTGGCCTTTTGAGTGTTGTGTTTAATTAAGTGTCTTTGATCTAGGCAGATTCTTAGACTTCCATTCTTTTTGGGTGAGTATGCTAGGCTTGAAAATCCAGTCTGTTGGTACTATCACTTTTCTCAAGTTCCTGTTTTATGATGTCCATTAATGCTATTGAAGCTTTCCTAGGTGCATCAATATGTGGTTGTATGTTCTCATTTACAGAGAATTTTACAGACCCTGACATAGAGCCAATTTTGTCAAACTATTCTGGGTACATGATGATGATTTTGAAGGCTTTACTCAAGTGGATATTGACAGTGAAGTGGTTGAAGTGGATAACCACACTAGTGACATGGAAGAAAGCAATGATGACCGCTGACAGTTACTATCATCCATGCCTGACTAATTTTATGTAAACACGAGGAAACACATCACTTTTTATGAAAGCCTTCTTAGAGATTTTGCTTTTTGTTGCACCCCCAGAACTCCACAAGGAGTAATAAAAGTTAAAGTATGTTGAATTGTTTATGTATTTTTAATGTATTTGTTTTTTATTTTGCATTCAATTTTTTTTGTTTTCAACATTGAAAAATGCATGCATTACATCAAAATATTACTCATACATCAAAAAATAAAACCTATACATAAATACAAAGAAAGTTACAACAATTTAAAAACAGTAGGTGTTCATGTTTTTTCACCCTTAAAAAAAAAATATTGGAGTGGTAGGGGGAACAATTCTAGAAAGCATAGTAAAGGTTAAACACAAAGTAAGGGAGACAAGCTACTGCCACTGCTTAGAACACATCAATTAAGCTGAGGAGTGGGAGTCTAAGATCTTCAGAAATTTGTTAGCAAAGGATGGTGAGTTCAATTCTAAGTAGAACCACAAAAGTCAGCATAGTTAACATTCTGCACTACAGAACAAATAGTCTCGGGGATTAAAATGCTGGTTTGTGAACTTTCAATAGTCCCTCATATTCAAAAGTTACTATTTCAAGAATTAATTAGAATTATGAAAAACAAGTTAAAATATGAAAAATATTTATTTCAAGGTATATGCTACAAACAATGTTCCACAGAGTGACCATCAGTGTCTCTACAAAGCTCAAAGTTTGCTGAAACACACTTTCCAGCATTTGAGGTGTTATTCTTTGAACCACGTCAGTCATAAGATTTCTAATCTCACCCCCATCTCAATTTCACCTCCCAGTGTACACTTTAGACTTACACAAAAATTGACATAAACCCCAATTAACATTTTACAAAAACCAAAAAATATGAATAATGCAAATCTTTATGACTATAGTGATTTCTATGAAAAACATTGGATTTCAGCAAAATAGTAACTTTTGAGATAGCCTGTATAATGAAGCAAAAGATGAAGAACAAATCTAAAGATTTGACATCTTTCATTTTTTACAAACTGGAGTAGAAACTGTGCCTCTCACCATTACTATCTAGAAAACATTTCAAAGTCATTATTTTCTTTTCTTAATCCAAGAACATCTGAAAAGAGTGTAAAGAATATTTATTCAAGGAACATCAATGCAGGAGAAATAAAAGGAAACATTACTAACCTTTTTGAAATAATATTGCTTGCGTTTTGTGGTCCCAGGTCGTGGACATCCAACCATCTCTTCTTCCTCCTCCTCTTCTTCCCATTCTCCATCTTCTCCATACTTCAAAGGATCCTTCAGTGCTTCCTTTTCCTCATACTTTAAAATCTCTTTGCCAACAGGTAGAAAATGATCATCAAGCTCACCTTTAAAAAAACAAATAAAATAAAAAAAGAGGAAGAGAAATCATAAAGGAGAAATAAATGAAAGGAAAGAGACTGGCCCTTTTTAAAATATTTTGCCTAAGCAATCAACATATTTCCAATATACTGATGACATGCTATTAATATATCTCTACAAAACAATATTACCTAATCTTCTAAATAAACTGAACAATATTGAACATACAATAGAATTTACTTATGAAACAGAAACAAAGAACACATTATCTTTCCTTGATAAACCATAGTGATAATGACCTAAAACTAAGTATCTATTGTAAATCTACCAATAAAAAAGATCTGAAACTTCTATTCACACCATAATAATAAAATTAAATTTCTCTAAAGTAGATAGAGACTGGAAGAAACTATTATGCAATATGTACAGCAATTGAAAGAAGTGTAGAGATATTATGAATTCAGAAGAATGTGTTCGAAACAAATGTCTATCAAAGATCAGCTAATTTTGCTAAAACTGATTGAAGGAATGTTTGACATCTCATACAAGCGTAAAATTCTAGAGCAGCTTCAAGCTCACAATATGAATCTGGGTACATTTGTGCAGTTCTTACAACAATTGAAATTGATTCAAAAATTTAATGCCTCCAAAAGCAGTATGGCAACTTACAGTGCTGCTAAAAGCTTAACTGTATGCAGATATTGCAATAAGGAACATGAAAAGAGCAAAAATAAATGTCTGGCCTTTGGAAAATGGTGTTTTAAGTGTAAAGGAAGGAATCATTTCCAGACGATATGCACATATGAAAAGTAAGTGGAAAATATAGATCTGCCAATTAAGAGTATGGAAGTATTTGAGATAAAAAGCACAAGATAAAATTAGGGAAATGGTAAAGTTGAATGGAATAACTTTACTCCTGCAGGTGGATCCTGAAAGTGATGTTATGTTGATACCAAGGAATTTTGGGGAAAGAATGAGTAGACCAAAGTTAAAGAAAAATAATCTCCAGTTAAAACAGTTTGATGGGTCAATCATCAAAATTTTAGGATGCTTTGAAGACAAATTATAGTGGTGGAAAACATCAAAAGCCACAGTCTTTTAGGAATTGACATGTTAAGAGGTGGATACATCAAAGCTGGTAAATTCTATGAAATCTGCAGAACTGGATGTTTGATTATTAAGGATTATGGAGGTGATTATTCAGCTTAAGGAAAGCAGTCAACCTATGTATTTTCAAGCCTGAAAAGTTCCTGTTCACATGCTACCCTTGGTGGTTGCTAAGCTGAACAAAATGGTGGAACAAAGTGTTGTATTACCTAGTAATCTCCCTTAATAGAATTCACCAGAAATAAGAGCAATTAGCTTCCTTAGTCACTAATGGTACTAAACCTTTTTTCTACTGTTGACCATCATGGAATAAACATATGTACAGCTTCACTTGTTATCTTGTCTCTGAAGTTATTAAAGGTGCGAACAGAAAAGTGTTGTAGTAAAGAAAAGAAAAAAAATTTGTAAACTTGTAGTAGCAATAAATGCTTGCAATAGGTTTCTTCTGTCTCTTGACGGCAACACTTGTAGCCAAATCACAGTTCAAATAATAGTCCATTGTAACAATCCATCCAACAGGCAATGTAGAAACTACAAAATGGGGTCACAAATCCAACCTTCACTTCTCACCAGCAAAAATGCATGTTCATCTGCCAAGCTCAGAAAAATCTTCCCCGTAAGCAATAAAACAACAGCTTTTATTCACCGAGAGTTTTTTCTGATTGGCCACGCCATTCAGGGGAGGAAAGACCATTAGCATAGATTCTGATATCCAAAGTAGTAGATTTTTGCTAACTAGTTTCAGTAATTTTTCTTCAGCAGATCATACACAAAACACAAATTCTTTTTCACAGTAGGTGATTCTCTCTTTCACTATAAAAAGCCGCTACAGTGACGTAGATGTTTAGGATAGTGTTTTCAAGAAATGGAGTTCTAAAAACCTTGATCTCTGACAATGCACCACAGTTTTGTGAAGAAAGTTTATGTACATGGTTAAAATGTATTGACTGCATTCCATACAAAATATCTCATCCTGGGTAAGACGTTAAACTACATCTGCGTCCTGGGTAAGACAATAAACTACATCCAGCAGCAAGGCCTCTGATCAGAAGGTTTTGAGGAGTGTGGAACTGCTGGTATTCCCAGGTCTACCCTGACCTGGGGTGGTAGCACCTGTTAGGGTCCCAGCTATGAGCAAATAGTTAACTATTACCAGCAATACTTTTTTGAAAAAAATTATTACCAGCAATACAATTTTGAAGGAAAAATATTACCAGAAACAGATTTTTGATAAAACAAAATATTACCAGCAATAAAAAATGTTGTCGGCATTAAATAACCCATTGAGGTTGATAAGCTGTAAAACAAAATAAACCAAACCATACAAAATACCACCTTACCATCCACAGTCAAATGGAATTACAGAGAGAATGGTTCAAATGGTAAAAATAGGATTAAAAGCATTATTTACCAAGATTACTCTTAGGTTATAGACCTATTCTGCATGCAGGCAGAAGACAAAGCTCATCTGCATTGATGGGAAGACAAATAAGAGCTCTGATTACCATGTCATTTGCAACAAATGAAAGTGTGTAGTACAGAAAGGACAAGGATTCAAGTCCTGAAAAGGGGAATTTTGTGGTGCAAAAGGGATTTAACACGGATGTTTTAACAAAGAATGGGCAGGGTATACTAGCTCACAAAGACCTATTTAGAAGTTATGAAAAAGGAGGAGGAAGATGAAGCAGAACAGACGACGCAAGAAAGGATGTAAATTAATGTAAATTAGGTACAGTGTAAAAGGTAGTATCACTATACCTATAGGGGATTTACCTTCTCTGTCAGAGAGAATGCCTATCATAACACTTACATTATTTTATCTTTGGTTAATAGAAAAATGTACTTCCAAGCAAAAATCAAACAGGTGGACAATAAAAGAGGAAAATAAACAGCAACAAATATCTTTACCTTGTAACTGAAGTTCCTGACACATTTTGAGTGCAGCAGACATTTTAGCCAATTTTTCTATTGGCATTGGAACACCCTAAAAAGAAAAGCAAAAAATTTATTTAATACCCATTCATACTGTTGTAACTTAGGGAAGGTTACTGAATAGAATAATCAAACAAAGGTTGGTAATGAGCGATAATACTTAGGACACAAACAACACCTATAAGATTCACTAGCAGCATGTAGAATTAGTAGTCGACTGCTAAAAGTGAGTCAAGTGAATTCCACAATGAATCTCCAACTGTAGACCAACATACAGTATTTACTACTGTATTTATGAAAATGGGGGACATACCCATTATCGTCTGTAGGTTTGTTACGATACATACTATGATGTGAGATTGTATTAAATTCAACTAATATTTTGAAATAAATTCACCTGATTGATAAACAGTCTTATAGTTTACATATTCTTAGATTTTGTATAGATATAATTTGTTCTTTTTAAATATATTTTTTGAGCTCAAAACACTTGCTTTATAATCATTTTTAAGTAATATACATCAATAGAATTATTAAAAATATTCCTTTTCAGCAATGTTTGATTATATAATAGCTTCAAATATTAAATGCTGGAATAGCTTAAGGTTAATAATTTCATTAGAAAATTAAATTAAAATTTCTTTTCAGAAACCTTCATTCATTTCTCTTTTGTAATTTCATCATTCTAAATTTACTCTTTCATAATTAGACTTATATGCATGTCCATGTGTACATGCACATATGCATATATACTATTTACATTATTCAGACTATTGTCCTCATTTTTGTTGCCATATTTATTACAATGTTTCAGCTGTTGCACACTCCAGCCTTCTTCAGGTGGTTGGAATGTCGAACTGAACCCTTTATTTCGCTCACTGGAGTAGACTGTTCTAGTTCCACGTGCCATGGTTAGTGGATGTCAGTTATCAGTTATCTCCTGTTAATTCCCCTCTTCAAATTCTCCACTGCCTTAACTGGGTATTGAACTCACACTCTTTGGGTCCTTTCACTGGATCTAAGTAACACCTTTATCCACTGTGCCATGTGTCCTTGGCACGTGGAACTAGAATAGTCTACCCCAGTGAACGAAATAAAGAGTTCAGTTCAACATTTCAACCACTTGAAGAAGGCCGAAGCATACAACGGCCAAAACGTTGTAATAAATATGGCGACAAAAATGAAGACAAAGTCTGAGCAATGTAAATAGTGTACATAATACCTCATCTCAGAAATATAGACAGATGTGCATATATGTTTAAAACTTACTTTATTTATAGAGGAAGAGTGCTCAATATAAGGGATTTGTAGATATAAATTGTGAACATAGAAATCAACACTACAAGGTGATTGTCTGTCTCTCTTTACATATGTGTGTGTGTGTGTAGAGAGAGAGGGAGAGATAAAAAGAGAGAAGGAGAGAGATTTCCTAGATACTTCACCTATTATAAAGGAAATTCCTCATAATAGATTTATTTGACTACTCAGATATGGAGCCAATAAAAGTGAATGTGATGATGTTAAGGATTGACACCCATAGGCTGATTGTCTTGGTAATTGTTGTGGATTGGTTCTATGTAAATGGAATAATGGGAGGGAAGAAATATTGGCACTAATCACTCTCATCCACTCTGTCTTGTAATTGACAATAGTTTCATGGCTCAGGCTAATATGATGTTAATTATGACAATAATTTGTAGATATAACAAGTTTTCTATTTAAAGGCAATGTTAAGAGGAAAAAAAAACAACTTTGGTTGTTTGTGATAACATTTTGAATACATGTTCAATTCATCACCATGTTATAATAGGTAAAAGTCTGGTTCAGCCTTCAACATTGTTTTCCAAAAATCTCAAATGGCAGTAATACTAATTTTAAAAGTTTAACAAACTTTTAATTTGTTCTCATTAATACAACACTTGATTTTCTACTTTGTTTTTCTATATCCCAAAATGAGCCAAGCATAGTTGATAGAATCTCCATCCACTCCAAAAAGAATTTGTATCATACACCCTTCCATTTGCTGGCATGCTTTATAACTTGGTGGAGCATGATATTGACATACATATACAGAAATATAACAAAATTTAGTAAACTCTTCTTTTTGCAAACAAGAACCTATATTCAAGGTGCTAAACAATTTTGGTATCAAAATTAATATTTCTCAGATTTGCCATTAGTAAATTTTTGTTACTTTCGCAGCTTATTAGATTTGCAATCTTTTCTTGTAATTAGGTTTTGTCCAAAAGACAATGCAAATTGATTTCTTGATAGTTTTCTTATTTTTCAATCCAAAATGATCCAGATATGTTCAACAGGATTCATGTTATAAAACTCTGGATTAGCTATAGAAGTTCTTCATAGCTTTTGGTCTTCCTATCATAAAGTCTTTTTTGCTGTACGGCACGAAGTTCTACCCTGCATGAAAAAGTTGCTAGTTTAGCACAAATAACATATCAGTGGATATTTGAAAAAACCTCTTACAGAACAGATATGAAATTTTCTCGATTGTTACTTTCCACACATTTTCAAAACTGAACAGTCAATACTTTAACTTGTTTACCATAATGAAAAACTTGTTATCTTTGATTGTGAGTTGCAATTAAAATACTATATTGCTGCTTTGCAACAGGAATTCTTTTGTCCATTTTCTCATTGACTGAAGACACCTTTTTAATGGCCCTACTCAACCTACTCTATTTCAAAGTAAATCTATTTCGGATTCATCCTACATCAACACCTGTTGGGTGAATTTATGAAAGCAAAAATAAAAATAAAAGCCACTGTGTGCAGGGGCTCCAAACATCACAGCTCACCCACAAAACAAATCCCCCTACACCCAATATAAAATACAATTTAAAAGGAGCCAAACATTGCCACTAAAGTGAAAGCATGACACTCCATCTTCTTTTAAGGACGCCACTCACTACACTGAAGGCAGTCAGTAGGTGAGCAGGCAGGCTGTCATTGTCACTGCTAGTGACTTACACCAAGCATCAACTACAAGCCCTACCAACTCTCCCCATCCCCCAAGTTGCTTCCCTTGCCCACAATGAGATATTCTGCCTTGACCCTATATATTAGCAACACAAAAATTTTATCTGAACAACTCTTGTTTTCTTTTCATCTCACTGGTGGTACTTAGCTGTCTCATTTGTTCTCTCATGCAACCATACATACGCCCCCAACACTTTATTAATCAGTTGTAAGACTATGCAGTTTAAAGTTATAAGTAGAATTCCTAATTTTGACACACTGACTTATTACATTTTCTGATTGGCCAAAAATATATACACCTTCTCACTCAAAAACTCATTATTCCCAAACTCCTGGAAAAAAAAATTTTGAAGTTATGATATAGTTCTTACTCTTGCATTAGATTTGGTAATTGTCAATGAGTAAATCTTTTTTAAGTATCAAATGAAAAAAATAGTGGTGTCTATTAACTCACATCTTTTATAGGTATGTATTTCTTTAATCATGTGTTTTAATTGATTTTAATATCATCTAATGATCTTAAAAATGTTGAATTTTGGGGGATTGGGCAATTAATGTTGATTTCAAAATCTGCTATGTTTAATACAATATTAAACAAAACAGATTTTGAAATTAACATCTATTTTCCCAATTTAACCAATCAAATATCACATTCCTCTGACTTTGCATCTCATTATATTTTAAAAAAAACAAAAAAAACAAGCAAATTATGAGAAAAAAAAATGTTTTTTAAATAAAAAAAATAATCTTAATGTTGTATGAAGCAAAATTATTTTTACCCACCTTTACTTCCTTCTTCACAGGAGAGTTGATTGGCAACTTAAGTGTAGCAACATAATAAAGATGATTTTTGAAATCTGTCTGTTCTACACTGCATTTAGGGGTCAGGTAAGTAAAGGCATCACTTGGCAGCTTGGCACAGTATCTGCAAGACATACAAAAAGAGAACTTGATAACCTGGAGGAAGTGGTATTGGAAAGTTACAAGCCCATTATATTGTAATTGTACTATTCAATGAAAATGTGCTAACGCTAAATGGTACTCAGCCTACTGAGCCAGTCTGCCAATAGGTCTTGTGCTATTTACTCATGTGCAGTTATTATGCAAGATTTTATAATATTGTATTGTAATAGCTCTGCGATCTTGACAAAGGTTGGGAAATTCAAGCAACATGCTTCTGTCATATACAGAACATTCTTTAGGTTGAACACAGGTTTTCAAAAAGGAACATATATATTTTAAGGCTGGTCAAGTGTCAGTTGTAATTAGGTGCTTAGGGAGAACAATCACCAATAAAATGTCAGAAAATATGAAGAAAAAAAATTAATGAAGTTATCCATGATGACCATCATCATTTTTTTCACATGATTGGTATCAGTTATAATGCTTAGTCCAGAAAATTTCTAATACCATTTTGTATATTATATGTTATACATAGTACATGTTATACAAGTTCAAATGATTCTGTTATTTTTACCTACTTGGTCTGCTCAAGAATTTTAAGTTGAAGGCTATATTAAGAATATCCATCAAAGGATCATTTAGCCATTCTCAAGTTGAGTATAAAATGACAAAGACGGAGCTGAAGAATAAGTAAAAAGTTTAGTTTTAAGAGATTTAAAAGGTTTCAAAACATTGTTTTATTTTTGGAAATCAAAAACCCAGAGAAAAATACAGAGCTGATCATTGAATTTGTTTTTCTGCCTCCAAAAATAAAAATGATAGATTTATGCAAATTAAAAAATTAACTTTTAGGAAGACTTACCTGTTGATGATAGAAATGGCTGAGAACAATGTAATTGGTGGAGCCGTACTATCATTATTGTTATTTAAAGGCAGGAATGGTGGAATTGGGTACTTCTCCAAAATTTCATTCAGTTCTTCTTTGGTGGGATCCAATTGGTTATTGTATTTGCGTAACAAAACCTGAAATAAGAAAAAATTATTTTGATTAGATTTTTGAGAAATTTTTCTTAAAATTCTTGGAACTACTGAATAGACAGAGTGAAGGTCTAGAGAAGCTGCAAAGGGACTTCCCAATCAATCTCCATGATCATCTGCTGCATCACATTTGAAACATCAGATGACATGCATAAAAAAATCACTACTCAATTTTCTTTTAAAAAATATTTTTTCTTCCAGTGCAACATTCAAATGAACCATTTGTAATACTGCACAGTAAAAATTTGTCCTGGCTTTGGTAATTTATAACCGAAACTTCATTAAAACTTTATTCTTCACTAGATTTTGTTTTTTGCTGAAATGTTAAAATCTCGCCTGCATGTAGTAAAATTTTTCCTTGTCTTGGATTCTTGTAATAAATTCATTTTTTAAATTATCTTTCTGTAATATATGAAACATACATACAGATCTTTCTGCATTTCTGTCTATATTTCTGAGATGTAACTATTTACACTATTTACATTGTTCAGACCGTTGTTCTCATCTTTGTCATATTCACAATGTTTTGACCATTGTTCCAATGTATATCACCTGAAGAAGGTCCAAGCATAGAATGGCCGAAGCTTTGTGAATATGACAATAAAGATAAGGATATTTGTATTTTTTAACTTTGATAATATTCTGATTAGAAAAATTGCATTTTTTGTTCAGGTGATTTGAAGAAAGACAATTTCTGGTCTAATTCTGCTATGAGCTCTATTTATTAGAATTCTAATGATTATGTGGTTGATGAAGATGATTGTCTAGTGGAGATCACTTTCATTTGCATCTAGTTTATTTGATAACACTATGAAGATTGATCTACTGAGATTTTTCAATATTTTGCCACTGTCATATACTTCATTTATCACTTTGGTAACCTTATCAATTACAGAATTGTCAAAAGTGTTCAGCATCTTCATTAAAATCTCATCTAGCCCTGCTGTTTTGTTGTTCTCCATCTTGACCAGTGCTTATCTAACCTACAATTCTAATACTATGGGTCCTTCTATGTTTTTATATGTTGTAGGCTTCCCACCTCTGTCATTCATACCATCTCTGTAATAGGTTTTTCATATTATAAATGTCCTTTCTTTAGTTTTTATGACAAAAAGAATGTTTTCTGTTCTGCTATTTCTTTTATTTTTTTTATGCATACATGCTTGTAGAACACCTCCATTGTTCTATTTCCCTTTGTTCATCCCCTTTTACTTTAGGTATATTTTGGGTCAGCCACTGCTTAGTTAGTTTGGTTAGACCACTTCCTCTTTAGCCCTTAGAAAGTACTGGAACCAGCAGAATAGCTGGTTGGTTGGTTAATTTTGTTTAGTGGCATATCAACACCTCTATGGGTTATTTAATACAAAATCTAAATATTTCATAATAGTTTTATGGCTTCAACTAAACATATTTTGAATGCAATTGTATGCCTTCAATGACAGATAAAATGTATTGTTGGTCATTTTGCTATAAATATGTATTGTTGGTAATTTTTTTTTTAAAACATGTACTGCTGCTATTTTACTATAAAAATGTATTTTTATACTTTTATAGTGTTTTGTTTTTGTTTGGGAGTTCACTATTTGCCCATAGCTGGGACCCTAACAGGTGCTACTACCATATGTAAGGGTGGATATGGAAACAACAACAATTAAGAGGTGTTTCCAGGCTCCACAAAGCCTTCAATCTTTCAATCAGGTGACTTGCTGCCAGATGTAGTTTATCATCATGCCCGGGACTTTGCTAGCAAGTATTTATTTCTGATGTTTTTCTTTAACATCATACATTCCGTGTTATTTCAGACCATTATCTGCTCTTTCATTTGACTTTCACTTGTCATCCACTTTTTTTTTTCCTTTCTTTTCTTTAGACAACTTTTTCTGTTGTTGTCACTCATATAGATTTTGCTGCACTGCACTTTAAGTATTTCTTTAAGTTTCTTCAATTTTTGCAATTTTATTCTTAGTTTGCATATGAGTGGGAGATAATCACTCTCGCAGTCACAGGCAAGTATCTTTTAAGAGTTTAAACCTAAATTTCTAAATTGCTGTGGCTACTTGGCTTTTTAGTATCTTCTGCCAGGCTTTTCCATTTCCACAAGAGTTTTGGATTTTTTCCTTCAAACCAGGTATTGGTTATTAGTTGACCATTAACTGTGTACCAATTTTTCTCCCCATTCATTACATATCAACCCAGTCTATACTTACCAACCATTTTCACTATCTTGTTTCCTTACGACTTTTGTATTTAAGTCCCCCATGATAATAATAATAAAAATAATAATAATTTCTTATGATTTATGAAATCTAAATTGTTTACCTGTTCAATTCTTTTGTAGGTTTTCAATTCAATATTGAAAGGTCTGGCTTTCTCGCTATCAACCAACATAATAAAATTTGCATTCCTGGCTCGAGCACGGGCCTAATGAGGAAAAAATCAAATGGAAACATTTAAAAAAAATAGTTTTAGATCATCTAATATATAAAAAGGTAAATATTTTAAATACAAAGAATTTCAATTCATCTATATATTAATACTATAATATCTATCTACCTCCCTACATAAGGTGTGCATCATACTACAAAAGAAAAAAATAAAGCTTCGCCTACTTGAAAAGATCAGTGGGGTAAAGGAATAATAAAACTCAGACAACAAGCCTGTCTGTCTTTCACCTCCATCCCTTTTTTTTTTTCTTCTTCATTTCATTTTTTTACTCTTTACCTTTCCCCCTTGACAGCCCTCTCCTTTTCCTTCCTTAAGTGTCATGCATGATGCACACTTGGATAATGCCTCTTTTCGATTTATAATTTACACAACAGAAGAATTCCAAGAGTAAAGTTCTGTTACTTTTTGTGGTAGACTGGTTGCCAACCAAGGCTACAGGATCCAGTCTATCCTGCAATTTAATCCATAGCTGGATGGAGAAGAGATGGATTCATACCTTTCCCAAAGCTATTTGTACATAAGCGAATGTAACAAACACAACTCGAATTCTAACTTGGCTCTGATTTCTCATGCCAGGCCATTATCCATTACACTTCCTGCATATCCAAGTTTACTGCACCTAGCTTTCCCAAGCGGTCACCCAACTAAGTAGTGACTGGGCTTGATATGGCTTAACTTTGGTGATGAGACGAGAATCAATTTTTCAGCGTGGTATGGCTGCAACCCAATTCTACCGTTGTATGGAAATTAAGATGTATACATATGTAACCCTTTGCACACTGTTATGTCGTGTATATTGCTAAGTAAGCATTTCACTTCCGTTCTAGTTGTTGTCCATTTATCATATGAGCTACCTGCTCATATGCAAATTATACTAATTTGCATATCACTACATCTCCCTATAACAGAGGGGGCTTATGCCGCGAGTACTTCTTGTACTTCTTCTTGTGCCCTCCTGATCATCTTCCTTTATCTCTCTCCTTTCCCTTGGAGATCTAGATCTATCACATCTTTCCCTATAATCGAACTGTTCCTCTTGCATACTGTGGTCTTCCTCTTCTAACTTGTCCCATTCTACTTCTTCCTCCTCTAACTCATCCCTCTCTACTTCTTCCTCCGCAGTTTCATTCTGCATTAACTCTTCTGTTACGTCAATAATGGGCATCTCTGAAGGCATTTCCTCATCCGATTCTTCTCCTTGGGATCTTATTTGGTCAGCATGAGCTAGAATACTGTTCCCATTTTCTTTATTCAATATTGCAGTATTATATCCTTTCTGCATAATAAATTCAGCTGACTCGGGTTGCATATTCCTGTTTCTTTTGTACCACATCTTTTGATTTGTGGCATATGACATAGTCAAAGGGGATCTTAATTGTCTGCCCATTAAGGCAGATGGACTTTCCGGCCTGCTTGCATGTGGAATTGTTCTATAACTTAATAGTAGTCTTGGTAGAAAAGCGTCGACTTCCTCCTTCTGTTGCAAGCATGCTTTTATGCCCTTCTTTACCGTCTGGACCATCCTTTCCGCTATCCCATTACTTTGAGGGTGGTAGGGAGGGGTCTTGTAAGGTCTGCATCCTATTTTTCTTAACCATTCATGCAAATCAGCATCCACAAATTCTGGTGCGTTATCAGTCACCAATGTTCTCGGTGTCCCATTCCTCGAAAATGTTACTCTTAATATTTGTTTTACGGTGGTACTTTTTTTATCAGGTACTCTCACCACTTCAGGCCAACCTGAATATGCGTCTACTAATATTAATAATAGTCCTATCCCATTGACATAGGCATGGTCCATGTGTACTCTGCTCCATGGTTCTACTTCTCGGGGCCATACATGTATTTTCTTTTGCTTAAAATTCCTAAGTTCTGTGCATTTTTTGCATCTTCTTACGTAGTCTTCTACGTCTCGAGTACCCCGGCCACCAAACTTCCAATTTTAATCTTCTTTGCATAGCTGCCACTCCACAATGTACGTCATCTTGTACACTTTTTATAACCTGTCTCCTCTGTGTTTCTGGGGGAACTACCAAGTCTCCATTACATATTATCCCGTTTTCTATAGTCATTCTATGTCTAATTTCTTTGAATGGTCTTTCAGCCATTGAACAATTTCCCCAGCGATTCTGTTTTATCCTTGACATTATTCTATTTAACACTGGGTCATTTGTAGTTTCAGTAGCCATTTTATCTACAGATATTACATCAGTTTCTACAAGGTGCAAGAATGTGTCTTCAAATTCCTCATCGTTTTTGTCCTTCTCTTCTCTATAAAACCTCAATCTAGATAAGGCATCAACGTGCGGTATCGTATTCCCTTTAACATATTCAATGTCAAAGTCGAACGCCATCAGTCTAATCGCCCAACGTAATATTCTGGATGTTGTAACTTTTGGTAGCTCTTTTTTTGGGTTGAAAATAAATTCCAGTGGTCTGTGATCACTTTTCAACAAGAATTTTTTTCCCATCAAAAACTGTCTTGCTCTATCCGTTGTCCACACTATGGCTAGTGCCTCCTTTTCTATATTCAAATAACTGTGTTCAGTTGTTGTTAATCTCCTCGATAAGTACATTATGGGATGCCCATCTTGTGACAAAATACCAGATATGGACTGCTCACTAGCGTCAGTAGTTAGAGTTATGTATTTAGGGTCAAAAATTTGTACTATTGGCTTTTTTGCCAGAATTTGTTTTAAGTTTTCAAAGGCTTTCTGTTGGTGTTCTAACCAAATGAATTCCACATTTTTTTTTTTTTAACTTAGCAAATGGTTCTGTCAACTCATTATATTTTGGTACATATTTTCTATAAAAATTTACCAAACCTAACTCTTTTTTTTTTTTTTTTGGTGTAGCAACTTTTAGAATTTTCTCTATTAGTACTTTATCTGAGAGATCCTTCCTTTGATATTGAGTAACCCAAAATGATATTTCATTACTGTTGGTTACACATTTTTTTGTATTTATTGTCATACCAGCGTCTCTTAGCCAGTTCAGTATATTTTCAGTTTTTTTCTTTAAATCATCTTCATTTAAATCTCCAATACATATATCGTCTTGATAACAGATGGTATTTTCAACATTTCCTATTACTTTTTCAATAGCTTTTTGAAAAATTGCACTTGCCGTTTTTATGCCATACGGCATTCTTTTCCACCTTAACAGGCCTATAGGTGTGTTTATGGTCGTCACTTCTTTAAAATTTTCATTTATCGGTATTTGGTAATTTGCTGATTTTAGGTCTATCTTCGAAAATACTTTCATTCCAGCAAGTTTATGTAAAGCTACTTCCACATTCGGAATAGGGTACGAGTCAGCACAAACTTTATGGTTCACCCCTATTTTATAATCTCCACAACTTCTCAGGTCACCATCTTTTTTTTTCAATACCACAATGGGTGATGCCCATTTACTTCCTCCTGGAGGGGCAGGTTCTAATAAGTCTTCCTTTATTAGCTTTCGCAATTTAGCTATTACCAACGGTAATAAATGCACTGGTATTTTTCTCACTTCGTAGTAGGAGGGGGAAACATTTTCTTTTAATTTCAGGCTAGCTTCATAATTTTTTAATTTTCCTGTTTTTTCTATTTCTATCTCATTAATCAACTTCGTTGAATTTATTTTTAACACATCATTCCCCAATAGTCCATGCATTTTTCGGCAATTTGTAACTATAATGGGTACTATTTCATATTTTCTTTTTAGTTCTATTGAACCTTCAAAGTAACCCATAACTGCTATAATCGAGCCATCAAACTGACGTAATTGTAAGTTGTTTTTTTTAAAAAATGGTTTTCCCATTTTTTCCCACAAATTTCTGGGTAATATCGTGACCTCACTACCTGTGTTGATTTGCATTTCAACAATACAGACATTGATTTTCACTTTTATTTTTGTATCTCCGTTCTTAGATCCAGTATTTTGTATATTATCCTTTTTTACATTAAAAATCTGTCTATTTTCAGCCTCTACTCTTTCCACATTTTTCGTTTTACATACTACTTTGAAGTGATTTTTTTTTAAACACTTTGAACACGTCTTTCCAAAGGCTGGGCATTTTTCTTTTTTCATTTCATGAATTTTTCCACAGTACGCACAATTTTTTTTTTTTGTTTGTACCGTATATGTTTCAGCCATTATTTCTTCTTCGTAGGATTTATTTTTATTTTGGTTGTAGGTATGTATTAATTCCTGCTGTTGTATAAATTCTATACACATATTCAAAGGCATGTTTGTAAGTTGTAACTGTTCCATTAACTTGTATCTATGTGCTGAATTATGCATACCATCCATTAATCTTAGTTGGATTAATTCTTCTTCCGTTGTCTGCTCTCCTGTTCCTAGTTTTTCGAATTCACAGTATTTACTTGCACTTCTTAACCGGTGTAAATATTTTACTATCGGTTCATCCACTTCCTGCTTCATTGCCATAAACTTGGTCCTTTCTGCAATCACCAGTCTTTTCTTTGGCCTCATGTTTCCCTCAATAACCTGACTTATTTCTTCGAAAGTCATTTCTTCTAGTTCTCGAGGGTAAACCATTGTAGCAACCTTCATAATCGCTTCACAACCAGCTGTAGCCATGAACAAGTCGGTGATTTCATTTTCCCCTCCTCTGTTTTTGTTGTCTTTCAACTTTTTACATCTTGCATTAGCAGAAAAGCAACGAATCCACGTATCTACGTACTCTGATTCTTCAAGGACCAAAGAGTATCCTATCGGCGACGCCATTGTTATGTCATGTATATTGCTAAGTAAGCATTCCACTTCCGTTCTAGTTGTTGTCCATTTATCATATGAGCTACCTGCTCATATGCAAATTATACTAATTTGCATATCACTACACACACTGTTGATTCTAAGCAGAAGTGCTAATCCATATGTAATAATATCACTATTTTTGACAGGTATTATACTATGATACTATGGGCACCCATGTAGAAAGGGAAGAGGTGGTTTTGTCTAAACTTCAAGTGTTTCTGTACAATGGACAAGTAGATGGTTCCTGTTGAAGTTCAGTCTTCTAAGTGGCATCCACTGTGCCCATTATGTAGTTCTGAAGCCTCCATTTCATATTGCCAGCCACTAAGTAGGGATGAATAGATGGGTGAGGAATTGGTAGGAGGAAAAGCTGACATAGCAAAAGTTGTCCCAAGTATCACCTACCTAACCACTTGGATGAGCAAGCAAAGCCCTGAATAAAACATCTACATATAATATGCTAAACAGGGTTCACATTCTTATTTCTTGATGTGGTGTTTGTCTTTCATCATGTTAACTTGTGAGCATGCAACACACTCTTCCCCAGATTTCAGTGCACACTGAGGAGATCAAGAATCAGAACGCAATGTGGGGTAATTGTTAGCTGGTCAATGGAAAGCTTGTCAATGGTTGCGTTATGTATTTAAAATGCTTGTATTATATAAAAATAATTTAGATGTTTGTATTTACTGTACAGTTATATCAAATATCATTCTTATTCTTTAGGCTAGATTCAAATAACTTTGGTCTCAAGAACATCATGCAATACGAAATAGGAGGTGCTGAAAAAATTCTTGGCCCAACCAAGAAGTCTTTTTCTTCAACAAATTCTGATATTTGGTCAGATTATGGCTGAAAACTTAAAAAGGATTAATAAATTCTCTTCAAATCACTTATAAATTTTACAGCATAGAAATGGTTTATTTTGTAAAATTATACAAGTAAGCAGTCCTACAGAACAGCCATTATGAAAACAATAAATACAAACTCTAAACAGATTTAGAAAATATTAGTTAACTGCCTTAAGTAGGTATTTAACTACATGGCCAAGTTTAGAATGAATTAGTAGCCTATGTGTACATGAATTTAGAAGAAACCCCATTAGCACTACCCCTTTTGGGAGTGCCTATGGCAGCAGGTAATAACCATGGCCACTTTCTAAAGAAGATATAATGCTTCACAGCTTCCTGAAGCTCAAACATATGATATTAATGTATCACCACTCCAGCCAGATACAGCTATATATGTGAATGATAAAATATTAAAAATATTTACAGCATTACCATGGTTCCAAAATCAACCTACACTAGTGTCCATGTTCATTAAATTTTAACATTCTGTAGGCAACTTTGTTCACCAAACAAGAATCTGGTATTGCGGTGTTTACTCATTCCCCCATGAGAATGAGATGTGACACAAGGCTGGATTAATGTGGGGACCCAAGCGTGTACACTCGGGCAGGGACAAAAATTCCCCTCAGCCCCCATAACTGTCAGTTGCGCTGGTCTCGGTGCGAGCACTGATCCCTCCCTCTCGTGCAATGGGCAGGCGAGGCCTCAGGCAGCTGTTCCCCAGGGCTGGGCACCTCTTCAGTATAATTTTCCTCAGTTGCCTCTCTGTCCTTTGACAGAGAAGCCCCTGAGCACACTCTGTCCAAGGACAAATATGCAACTGAGAGATGATAATGTGCACAAATTACTTAGAGTAATTTATGCGGTATTGCCACTGCAATTTGTTCTGATCATTGTGATACCAGTAAATAAAACAGAGTGTTAAAAGTTTAACTCCTTCCCCACCAATTATTTTGGGAAAAACATTTCATTTTCAAATTTGTTTTTAATATAGTAACTAAGAAACTGAGGCACCTTGAAATACCCAAGCAGTGGCTAATACCTCTATGAGATGTACGAGTTGACAGATGTGTTTCAAGCTCAGAAGGGCATAAAAAGAAACAAGATCAATGTATAAAACACATCTGTGTCTGGTTTTTGAACGTTATGTTTTGGACATGTTTTACTTGGGCATGTCTGAAAAAAGACATTTTCGGTAAAAACGTATGTACATGTCTATGTCAGGGAAGGGGTTAACAACCAAATCTACTGTCTGGTTTACAACATTTAGTAAAATTACTTCCAAAGAACTATTAATAATTGTTTCCATGATATTAATTTCCGGTTTAAAAATTACAGATGAATTCTGAGTAAAATCAATTGGGTAAGAGAGAAAAGAAAGCAAGAAATCATGTCCTACCTTTGACTGACTGTAAGATTTGTAATCTTTAGGTGGGTCAAAGCAAACCACAAGATTACATTTAGGAATGTCGATACCTTCTTCAAAATTGGACGTGGCTACCAAAAGGTTGGTTTCCTGCATCCGAAATTTGCGTAAAACTTCTTCATGTTTCCGGTAATTGGTAGAATCTCTTTTGAGGCCATTCTTGTAACTGGTGATGTGACTGCTCTTCACGAAACATAAATTCTCATCCCATGCACACACCTCTTCAATTAATTTATTCAGAGCATAGGCAACATACTTACAATCCACAAATATCAGTCCGCACAACTTTTTTTCCTCGTCCTGTTCAAGGGGATCTGCATCTGAATTTTCCCCTCTTGCAGTGGGATGCTTGAGGGTGATATGCAGATCCTTGCTTTGATGCCCAGAGCTATCACAGTCATCCGAATCAGACATGTCATCTATAGTGTCATCATCTGAGTCTAGAATCCCGTCAGCCTCCTCATCTCGCAATATCACAAATTCAAATTCAGGTTTATAACTGCGAAGAATGTTGACCAACTTTATCACTTTAGGTGTTACAAACTGCAAGAACTCATCAATACAATAACCAATATTGAAAAGTTTCTCAAAGATCTTTGTGACAAAACGTAACTGGGTAGCTGTATAACGTAACAATATCTTGCTTATCTCGGACTGCTCGTGCGTTATTAACTTATCCAACTGCTTTATAAACATTTCAGCAATATGGTTCGCACACCATGGGCCAAGAACATCAAGTATATTGAGACATTCAGAAAGAACAGTCCTTGGGACCTGGAGGGGGTCTTTGCAGTTCTCCAGTTCTTTTTCAGACAAGATGCACTTGTCAATAAACAAAAGCGCTTCTTGGAGGATAAAAGCAACATCTGGCATTTGTTGGATTTCATCAAAATCATTGTTGCACTCGTAGAGAGCTTCCTTTGGACTGGTACCGTGCCGTTCAGAAAAGACAAGAGTTGATGTTTCAGCTGTGGAATGAAATGTCGTTTCCAGCATTGTGATGGTGTTTTCAAGTTCGACAGGATCTTTACATTTGCTAGAAAGTAAAGTTGCTGTCAGAACCACAACTCGTGGATGCTTTCCTTGCTGGCACTTTTCACATATCTTCATCACCTAAAAGTAAAATATTAAAAATAGAACAGCCATAAATTAATGTTTATTAATATATATATATATATATATATATATATATATATAAGAAATCATAAAAAAATTCAACATCTACTCACTTTCATTTATTAGGTATTAAATGACATCACTTAGCGTCATCTATAGTTTACCTTGACTTACAGTTTAAGAATATTTTAGAGTGTTTTTAAATTTAAAAATGTTGAAATCTTAATATATTTTGATTTCAGTTTATGAAGACATGTAACAAAATAAAATCCTTACATTTACTTTAAAGCCCCCAGTGGACAAAACATGTTAATGAAAAGTTTTCTTTTTATCTTTATTGATAGATTAATATGTGAAATTTATGTGTGTAAGAGAGAATATGAGAGAGATATGTGGGTTATTGAAAAGTTCTCAGTTTCACTCACTCCCCAAAAAATGAAGAAATATTAAATTCTTTGGAAATCCCTGGTTAAGCTAAGAACTTTTCAGTATAAAAACTAAAATATTACAAACACAAACCTTTTCTGCTACCATGGTTTCAACCAATGAAGGTTTTATTAGGTTTTTCAATGCCTAAGGAAACCTTCATTGGTGAAAACTGTGGTAGCAGAAAAGGTTTGTGTTTGTAATTGATCTGAACTATCTCTACACTTTTGTTTTTTGGAAGTCTATCGAGCACTTTTTTTTTTTTTTTTTTTTTAAATATAACAGTTTCCTGGACAAGATAAACCGTGTCTGTAAAAACAGTTTTATTATATAATTTAAATTACACAACAGATAAATCCAAATTTACCTCATGGGTATAGACTATTTCAGCTGACGCCAAGTACTAGGTCTAATCTAAAAAATATAACTAAAAAAAAAATAACCGATAAACTATTAATTACAACCTGTGCTAATCTTTGGAAGGATTTGTCAGATAATATTAAATGGTTTGCCAATATGAGTGATAAAGAAAGAGCAACTTTATTAAGTTTGATATAATAGATTTTTATTCCTCTATCTCCAGAGACCTCTTAGTTAATTGTATCAACTTTGAGAAAAACCGTATGGAGATAACGGATGTTGAGACTAATATCATATTAACTTCTAGGAAATCACTGTTAGCACTTAATGATTCTACCTGGATTAAGTGCTGTAATGATGATTTTGATGTCCTTATGGGATCATATGATTCAGACCAGGTTGCAGATCTAGTTTATATTTTAGATATACTTAGTAGAATTGTAGATCCAAAACTAGTAGGCTTATATAGAGATGATGAACTCATTTTCATTCCTAATAGCAATGGTCCACTAACTGTGAAGTTACAGAAGAAAATAATTAGGGCTTTGAAATTACTAGGGTTTAGGATCAAGATTTCTTCTAACCTCAAAATAGTAGATTATCTAGGTATCACCCTTAACCTTAATAATACCTTTAAAGCTTACCATAAAGAGCAACTATATTTATGTTAATTCCAACCACCCCTATGCCATTGTGAGACAAATACCTATTACTGTTGGCACCAGAAATTTCATCTAACATAAATATCTTTAATAAGAATAAAGAACTGTATGAAAATGCTCTCCTAAAAATGGCTTTAAAAATAAATTATCGTACTTAACCCCCATAAGTAACACTGAAAGATCTAAAATGGATTGTAGGCATAGAAATAGAAAAAGAAAAATTATATGGTTCAACCCCTTTTCTGTAAATTATCCAATATTAATATCAGACAACATTTTCTGAAGTTAATAAATAAACATTTTCACAAAAACAACCCTCTAAGTAAAATCTTTAATACGAAAATGATTAAAATAAGCTATTCCTGCAATATTAACAAGTACAAAATTATCAACTCTCATAATAACAATATTTTAAGTAATTTCCATGGGACTAACAATAAACCTGGTATGGAATCCCATTGTAATTGTAGAAATAGTTGGTATACCAAGCAACCATGTATCCCAAAGAAAATAGGTTAAATCAATGTTTACATTGGAATTTTTGCGGGGAAATGGAAACAAAGACTTTACACCCATAGGTACTTTTTACCAATCCAAAATTAAAATATAAGACAGCTCTTTCCCAAAAATTTGGAGAATTGAAGAAGAAAGGTCTGAACCCTCAGATACACTGGAAAATTATAGGTTTTGCTCATACTCCCAATAGTCTTAGGAATAGGTGTAACCCATGATTAGAAGAGAAAATTAGAATAATAAAATTCAATAATCAAAGCAAACTATTAAATCAAAGGAATGAATTAGTTTTAAAATGTTGTCATCGGGGTAGGTTTAGACTTCTATAATATTATTGATCTTACTTTATTTTTAATTATCTAACCCATCTAATGTTAAACATATTACTATAGTTATTTCTATATTTTGCCTTCTGCATATCAATCCTATCTTATAACCTTCCACTACTTTATGAACTCCCTTTTTTTAAATTACTTAATTCTTTATCCGTATATATTTTTTTTATTTTTTTAAAAAGGTTTTTTTTCTGGGTATGGTTTGCATTCTTAATAATTTAACTTATCTTTAAAATTTTAAATGGATAATATATTTATCGTTAAATTATTTTTATTCATAATTAATATTGAATTTTTTTAATATATTCTTTCTTAATATAAACTAAATACAATTTATTGTTAATCTTATATATCCTATTTGTAAGCATATTTTGGTATTTTTTTAGTGAGAACAATTTTTTTATATAATTAATAATTTTGTTTTATAAAACTCCTTTTTTCGGTTTTCGTTTAGTTTCACTTCATCTTTCTTATGACCCCAAGGGTTTTAAGGTTAATATCTGGAGCTCCTTTCCTTTTAAGACAGATAAATTCCACCCTCTTCTTTCAACTACTCAGGCAGTCTGTCCTGCCAAAGCTCCGATATGGGTAGGCTCTGTATCAATTTTTCAACTGCTGTCTTTGTTAAATATTAAATTTTAAATCTCTAGTTCCAACACTACGGTCCGCCATCTGGATTGAATAAGACTTAACGTACTTGGTGTCATCTATGTGATGGACGCAGATAGCCCAAACATGCATATATTAAGGTTAATCTCCGCCTGGCAACAGAAGAGGTCACGTGGAAGTCATGAGACATTTTGGGAAAGCAAGTCAAGAGGTTGACTGACCCAATTACCCATAGCAACAGATGTCTAGACAGAAGCTAGACAGGGGACTGATGTAAGCTGGAATTCGTGCCAAAACGCAGGACACGTGAGAGTTAGAAAATTACTTGGGAGTCAGTTGCTGTCTTGTCTTTGAAGGAGCAAGACTCAAAATCGTTAGCGCTGATAACTTATGAACAGAAAGATGAGACTCATCTGATAGTGATGGAACTTGTCCGATTCATCCCAGGCAACTCCAGACAAGAAATATAAGAACATGTATTTCTGTTCGATAACCCCAAATTGAAGATGATAAACTGTGTTATTTATCATGGAAGACACAAAGGAATTTGTACAATGAGAATACAAACTGTGTTTGAAGAAAAGAGGAAACCAGAAAGGAAGAAAGTATATATCTCTGTTACAAGCTGAATTGTGTAAAGAAGAAAGAAAGAAAGAAGAAAACCAGAGAGAGGTAGAAAGTGTATATACCTGTTGCAGTTGAATCGTGTGTGAAAGTGAACTGTATACAGAAGAAGAAAGAAGGAAAGAAAAAAGAAAACCAGAGAGAGGAAGAAAGTGTATATCTCTGTTACAGTCGGACAGTGTGTGAAATCGTATTTGTGTCAAAGAAGAAAAACAAAGGGAAAAGAAATGAGGAAACGTGAAAGAGAAAAGAAAGGACAATGATAAAAAAGAGAACAGATTATAAAGATAAGTAATCATATATTTTGGACCCGTGTTAGAAAGATACACATGCATCCATAAATATTACGTTCTTACAAACACCTTTCCACATGTCAAAATAATAATATGTAACTCCTATCCCATCTCTTTTGGTTATGTGTTGATTTCTGCATTCGTAGTTATTCATACTTACATTTTTATCCAGTCGAATCCATTTGGAGTTAGGCATATTTTGATATCCCAACATAAGTCTTGAGATCTGGTCGTCGGATGTTTTACTCATGCTTATATTTTCTTTTATTTTAATATTTTGTATATCTGTACATATTAAAGTTTTTATATCAAAATTCACTATGCCTTATCATTCATCCTTTGAATTGTGGATCAGTATTCGTGTTGAAACCGAAGCGAACCTGGGAAAAGATTACTGTTCGATTATCCTAATCTAACAGTGTTCTTTAAAATATTTTTTTGTTTACTAATTGTCCATTGTCATGATCTGGGAGAGATAGCCTGTATCTCTCCACAGGTGTGATAATGTATATATCTTCTGGTTGGCGTATGATCGCCTTATAAACCCATTCGTCGACTAGGGCATATGACAATCTGGAATAGTCTATACCCATGAGGTAAATTGGGATTTCTCTGTTGTGTAATTTATATGCTCTATTATAATAAATACATTGAGCTTTTTTTTTGTGGATCAGTTTTAATATTTATATGTTCTGTTATAATAAATACACTGAGCTTTTTGTGGATCAGTTTTAATATTTTATATTATTAGGATCCACTTGGATTATATACCAACAGATTTTTACCTGTACTATATATAACAAATCTGTAGGTGTCAAGGATTATTCCAATGAGGTCTTTTTAATATATAAATATTGAAAAGTTAACTCCCTGATGAGAGCTCAATGTATAAATTTATATAAAATGTAATATTTGCCAGATGAGGCAGGTGTATATATATATATATATATATATATACATACACTTGTTGAAATAAATTTATAACTGTTTATATGATGACTAATTAAGTCTTTTTCTTATATATATATATATATATATATATATATATATATATATAT